AGTAGTGGTAGTAATAGTAGTAGTAGTAGTTGTAGTAGTAGTAGTAGTAGTAGTAGTAGTAATAGTAGTAGTAATAGTAGTAGTAGTAATAGTAGTAGTAGTAGTAATGGTAGTAGTAATAGTAGTAGTAGTAGTTGTAGTAGTAGTAGTAGTAGTAGTAGTAGTAGAGACGAAGAGACGAGTCCAAGGAAGCAGTCATGAAGAAGGAGACGTGATCGCTGGGACAAGGACTTTATTCGCCTGACGATTCAGATTCCTGTCAGAACCCATCGTCAGAGACCACAGCAGACTCGTATCTGCTTCTTCCTTCTTCACAGTAGTAGTAGTAGTAATAGTAGTAGTAGTAGTAGTAGTAGTAGTAGTAGTAGTAGTAGTAATAGTAGTAGTAGTAGTAGTAGTAGTTGTAGTAGTAGTAGTCTCATCATCCTCCCCATCTTGCTGGTTTCACCGGACGTACTGTCGCCAGCCTACAAGCCCGCTAAAGTCGTGTGGCATTTTATGTCATTTTACCATGCATGCCAAATGTACATCCTATCTTAGAAAGCATTTGGAAAGCGATTAATATTCAATGACTGTTTTAGCAAACATTTTCAACCGGAGGCTGCAACAATTGTGTTTTAAAGTAGTCCTGGATTGCCTGGGTTTACGGGGATCTGACTCGTGTTTTCATGTCCACATGGTCTGCAAACAGCTTTGTCTGTCGAATTTCTGAGGCAAGTTTAGTTAGTACTATACGGTAATGCGTATTAGGGATCCTAGAAGCAAGAAACCGAAGAATGAAAATTCTGCTTCATATGTTTTTTAATGCACACCGTTACGATTTCTTTAAGTCATGAAATTTTGAAAGCAAGTTTTTTAAGGTAGTGGTGGCGAAATATCCCGAATAGGTTCAGTGTCCACTGACAACCCGGGACGACCAGGTTTGACGATTATGTAGACTGATGTTAGAGCGCTTGACTTCGTAGTCAGTGATTTGTCTTCAGGTTTGATTCCGGAGTTTTACCTGTTTCGGGTTAGGCAACGTAAGCTAGAAATGACCATCAAAGCTTGACCTTTTCTCCCTAATAAACCTCCTATTGAGGCCGAAGTCCATAAGTATCAAATAGACTGATTTACTTCATGTTAACGACTAATTTCTGAGAAAATAAAAAGGAGGAGGTTTCAGAACTGGCGAAACATGTGTCTGAGCTTTTAGGTAGTACCTGTGGTGTTAAGTATGGTATATACTACTGGTTACCTGTTGGCACTTTATGATTAATACACGGTTATTCCACTATGCCTAATGGTATTCGGCCCGAATATTCAAGTGAAATTTCATTCTGAGTCTATGCGCCACAAAGAGACTGATTTACTCCTAGTTAGTGGTTAATTTCTGAGGAAAGTCCATAGTTGCTATAAATACTGGCCTGTCTGGAAAGGCCATCCACTGCATAAGGACAATAGGGAAAGGAAGTCTTACTAACCCTTTTCTCGGCAGATACCAGACCATAAAAAAATTCCAAATAACTACATAAAATGCAATAACGCTGATAGGCAGTTATTTTCCCTGACTGTCCTTAACGACGGCGGCTACGGAAACCCCCTACTGGAAGATCATAATATGGATTAATGTGGGATCTGGATCGCCAATCACAAACAGTAGGACGATATGCAATTTCATTGGGGAGTTAAACCCACTGTTTCACGAGTCCCAACAGAGACACACCGTTCCGGGGAGTGCTCTGCCGTCTCTTCTTTGAAATTCAGTTTCAAAGACTGCAGTGCTGCAAACCTGGTCCAGTTGTATACATGGGAACGGATCGACTTATTAATCTCACTCGGAGTCTGGACAATCAATTTCTAGCCACTGT